CCCTGCGCCTGCCACCTCTGCCCCAAGAGGTACACTATCTGACCCTGTTACACTTAATTCGATCTACGCACCACACACCATCTGCTCCAAGCGGTAATTCCCCATACGCCCCCTCATCCCCCCACTGCCCCCAACTCACCATAGTCTTTGTTCTAAGTGGTTTGTTCCCCCACCCATATCACACACTAGGGAGTGACTCCTCCAGGGAGCAGGGGCTCCTCGGCGGTATTTACAAACCGCTTCAACTAATAGCCCTCACAGCAAAATGCTATTCCAAATTATACTATTTTACTAATGTCATAAATTTGAAAATTTAGATGGATGGATATTTTGTAAAGTTTGTAGCATAAACGGCTGAACGGATCTGGAAGTAATTTGGTATAGATGTGGAACATAGTCTTACTTTTTTTTATTCTAAGCGGACGAAGTTGCGGTCGAAAGTTAGTCTTAAATATTTTCTTAAGAACCGCATACAATTAGATAGATGTCTAAATTAAATAACGTTTCAGTATTCAGCCGTCAATGGATTGATGTAACTTTTCAGGTTTCGCAGAAAGTCCGTCCTCAAGGAGCATATGAAGAAAGTACACGGAATGGATTTAATAACAAGAAAGGTATTGTTTACTTTGTTATTGTAAAATACTTTACAATATCTATACTAATATTGTAAGATTGAATTTTTATTCTAATTAGGAATATCGCATATTTTCCATATAAATGAGGTTTATTTTCCATTAAATTTCAGATGTTCTTCAAAACCCTACCAAAGCTAACAGAGACGCAGCTGAGGCACGCCAAAGTTGTACTTAAGAGCGAGGAGGCGCTGCTGCGTGACGTCACACCGCTCGCGTGACGTCACACCGCTAAAGTATACACCATCTCAAATATGTTGCCGGCTCGGGGACAGGTGTAGTTTATGAAATGCTATAGGTTTTGCCCGGTTTTGTAAATATCGACGAAAATACTGATCTGCAAATGGATAGGTATTTGGAAGTGTTTGTAAGACAATAAATTATTTTATGTTACATTTTTTATTAAATTATTACAATGCAATGATTGTTTCATTTTTTTTAACTAAGCAAAAATACTATTGTTTGTTAATTAAATGTTTCTAATAAGAAATTTTGTTGTTTTCCTTCTATTTCAACTAATTTAATGTAAACTGAAAAGCAGTAGGTAAATAATCATTTTTCATTTTCTCTTACCCCAGTTACTAACGGCGTTAAGATTTTCTTAATATAAAATACTTCTATCTTCTTTCTTCCAAAATACTTTCTAAATACTTTTTGCTTTAAAAATAAAGAGAATGGGAAATAAAATGACCAATTTTTAATAAGAAATAATGTTTTATTACGCACTTATTATTTCAACCAAATGTTTTACGAAACACTATAGCATAATGCATACACGGCCGTTAGACACGAAACATGTTTCGCAGCATCTCACGCTACGAAAATACAAAAATATTAAGCGGTTTATTTCAGATAAACTAACGGATACCTTATGCAAGTTTAGCACTGAACATAACCGTGGGCTTACACTGAACCACAAATAGTTAAATGATATATTTTTACATATTTTAGTAATGGAAACGATAAAAATAAGACACATAAAAAAACTGAAACTTATTCACTTGTTTAGGAGTGAATTTAAAAAAATATTTACAGTCTGTTTACAAATAATTTAACGTGATGACGTCAGAAGCCTTGCATTTAAGTTCGCATTTTTCAATCACTTAAGGCTCTCGCTAGTAAATTCGGCTCAGAAACGTTAAAATTTGCTTAAAACGTTCATATAATATCACGTTATCACATCAAATTATTTCAATATTAATATTCCGAAAAGATTTTGTATAGAAACTGGAATAAAAAAAAAATAAAACTAAGTATGAAGATAAGAATTGTTTTTGATAAGATCTTCGTATATTAGGAATATGTCCAGTGCATTTTACATCTAAGAAAAAGCATTTAAACCTCTATTCTCGACCAACAATCACAATGTTGAAACATTCACCAAAACTATTTATTTCTCCAATACTGATTTTACCCTAACAGTGGTCCAAAAATATCTAATACCATTCCTAAACGATCAAGTAGAAAAATACATCAAATATGCTTCACAGAAATCTAGCATTTTTTTTTCTCAATTTTTTCTCACTTTTACATTGTTTCATACGTGACGTACGGCGAAATATTGCACAGACCAGTGATTTTCAAACTTTTCGTGTGAAATGCAAAATGTTATTGCTTTGTCTACCCCATTTTAAACTAGGTCTTTTTATGCACTAATTTGAGAATCTCTGGTCCTATTATCAAGTCTATTTAATAAACATTCTAATACAAGTCTACTGTAATAGAAAAGTAATTGGCGGTAATTCTATTCGGAACTATTTTAAGGTACTGAACACTATTACGAATTTACTCTTTAATTTAATAACGGCCTAACAATGTTATTTAGCTAAGCGATTATTTTTATTGTTGTTATGCCAATTAATTTTCTATAATCGAAACAAAATTGATTTCAACTCACACTTTTCAATGAAAAGAGCGGTTGGTTTCATTTAAAGACGGATTTTAACAAACATTTGCAATTTTAAGGGCCTGTCCCAACACTGGCTGTTAGAGGCACAGATAGGTTAAAAACAAAATACGATGTTACCATCACATATTTTACACGTTGGATTGTTATCTGACAATTTACAATTTGGTGGGACAGGACGTAACAGTTTTAAAATCTAGAAATGCTTTCCAATGCCAGTTCACATTTAGGCCATATAAATTCATTACAGCATTCGTACATTTACATTTATTGGTGTTAAAATTGACTTGTGATCCTTTTTATAAGTGAAATAACGAAATATTCAACTTATAAAACGGGTCGCAGACACGTGAAAAAATAATTACATGGCAACATGGTCTTAATCTAGACAAATTTGAAACGCCTAAATTTAGCAGACTATTCACATATGTAAAAATAATTGTTTTTTTCCACTAACGGGCGTGACTTATTGAACTTTTTAAATATATTAAAAATATCACTAGTGGCAGTAATAACGCTCCTCGTAACCTCACCGACAAATGTTTTATATTTAAATATATTATTGTAATAATAATTATTTTGTTATAATTATTAAAACAATAACCTCTGATATATCGCATTGAGCATCACTATAATTTCTTGAGTCCATCATTTGTCTATGAGAACAAAATGGCCGACTTTTAGTACACATGGAGGCGGTTTCCGTTGACATGCACGTGCGGATTATATACTAATTGCATCGTACATACCTCATTATTCATACTTTTAATATTACAATAGTCTATGATATTACGTACTTGGAACACTTGAATTTCTCGAGTTGCAATCACTGTTTAAAACAAAATGTTCCCAAAGTACGCAATCGAATGTTTCGTAAATAACGTTCGTTAACTAATGATGTTACATTGAAGCTCGGACTGCACTCAGGCAATAAACACAATGCACGTTACAGTAAAATACAAGGTTAAATGTCACTAAGTATTACATTAAAATAGAAACAATAAATGAATAATAAAACGCCGCTCCTTCAGTATAAAATCGTCGCCGCTATCGGCAGCTCACACTCGATAAGGAATATAAAGTTTAAACAATTCTACGTGAATAAATGAGAATTGACATTACAAATACGAAGGAATCGTAAAGTATTCATAACTAAAGCTAGCGATCACAAATTCTGACGCATATTAAAAAAAAAACGAATTCACCTCCGCGACTAGTTTCCTCGAAACGTAAAACAAAATCGAAAGCGATTGTACAGCAGAGAGGAGGAACGCGTCCGTTCCCGAGCGACTCTTGAAAAATCAAGTAATCCAAAAAAAAGTTCTATACTAAGGTACTTATCACAGGTAAGGGGACAAGAGAAATTAAACGGCGTTCTCTCGCTGCGGCTGTTACAACTAATACAACTTAAGGTACACCCGCCCGAGCGGCGCCATCCTCCGTAACTAACATTACATGGACTATTCCCTACCGTCACCCCGCTCCGTCCCCACGTGGGAACAGATGAGAATAGAAAGTTTCAGCCGTCCCACCCTTTGCGACGAGGGGTTGGAACTTACTTTATTTTAAAACGGTTCCATCTGTCGCCTTATTGCTGATAGTGGGACTAAAAGGTAGGACGGATGAAACTTTTTATTCCCATCTGTTCCCACGTGGGGACATAGCGGGGTGACGGTTGGGAAGAATCCCATTACATTACAATTGTAAGCCCAATGCGGCCGCGGCCGGCTGAGATCGGTTACTTATGCGTAGGTCGCGGCGTGGGGCCGCACGCCCCGCACGCCCCACACATCCCCCTCACGCCCCACACTCGCCCCTCACGCCCCACACACGAACTCCCAATAAGAATTATTCGTTTGACAAAAATATACTATTTATCGTGTGTGGGGCGAGGGGGCGTGGGCGCGGCGCGGGGGGCGGCTAGTCCCAGCCGTTCTCCTTCACCATGTGCGCCAGTTCTATGATGAACTTGCCCTCCTTGTATTTCTGACTCGACTCAAATGCGTGCTCCTGGAAATGAAAACAAAATCATAAAGTAAACATGCAAATAAACTGCGAGAACCGAATATTTACTTAAAAAATAGTATTTAGACCTTGGTTTAAAGGCACTGAAAGCGCTAAATATTGGATTTTGATATTGGAAGGACTTTTAGTTCTGGATTTTTGTATGTATTGAAATAACTCAAAAACTACCGATTTGCCGATTAAAAAATAATTATTAGCCATTAAAAAGTTACATACATTATCAGTGAGTAACATACGCGATGACTTTCTTACTTTTTGAATTCCACGCGGATAAAGTCGCAAGCAACAACTAGTACAGGGAAGGTAGACAGTGTTCGGATATTTCGCGGTACTATTAGATTAATAATCGTTTTTACTAACATATTTCCATCCGAGCATGGTTTTGCAACACTCGCAGTAGATATCGGCGACAGCGTGCAGCCCCGTCAGCAGCACGCGCTCCTCCGCCGGGCCGCAGCCCACGTTCACACTGCAACAACATACAACATATTACAACAACAATACAACACTGTTGGTTGTTGGCTTAAATTGGATAACAATGTTGCTTAAAGAATACGTGTTGTTCCCTTTGCAATGAAATGTTAAGATTATCGAATGCATATCAATTCATCCACACGAGAATTCGCAGTAAACGACATGTAATTGTGAAATATCCGACTCTCAAGCCTTGAAACGAATGAATTTTAACAATAATGCGTTATTATAAACGTGTGAAATGCAAACACGAGGGTTGTGCAACAGTCGTCAAATGTCGCCGCTCGTCGTGCGATGCCATGAATTATTTTGTCTCGAAACGCAATAACTAGTGCTAATAATGACTTATTACTGAAAATAAAAGTAATAAATCGCACTAAAGTCTTAAAAGAAACTAAATACTATACTTAAAATGTTAACAAAAAGTTTATTGAGGATGTTTAAGAAAAATCTGTTTTAAAACTTATCAAATACAGTTATATCATAGAAAATAGTCTTGAGTGAAAATCTCAGAACTCTAATTAAAGATGACAGGGGAGATTTAAACAGTGAGATTCGTGTATTAAGGCAACGAAAGCGGATGTAACCACGACCCGCAAGGACTTTCACCCGCCGAGCCTCTCACTGGAGAAATCTCCAAATCGTTAATGTCTCATTACCTTGCAATATCTACATTAACTTTCTATAATGATATTGGAAACATATTTAACTGTTTAAGGATTACATCCACTGGAACATGATTAAAATTTAAATTGTAATAAAATTGTTATTTAAAACTACAAAATACTCACACTGAATTGAAAAGATACGCGCGCCCCTGGCTGCCCTGGAACGACTAGAAAAATAACACAAACTATATTAGGATTACATTTGTATCATGAATATTGACTATTATGAATAATTTTCATTCATGCAAATAGGTTTACCTGGATTGAACAAATTAGAATAAGCTTTATAGAGACGATTTATAGATTAAATAGCAAAAGACTGTATTCCATTTAGTACATACAAGAATGGTGGTATTACCTTCGAGATGAGCTCGTCGTGGCTGGCCAGGTGCGCGCGGCAGTGTATGCAGCTGTAGGTGCGGTGCGCCGGCGGCAGGTAGGCCTGGAAGGTCTTGACCGGCGCGCGCGCGGCCGCGCCGGCGCCCTCGCCTGCCACCCCGCCACGTTTACTCACCCCGTCACGCATGAGTGCCTGCTAGCTAACACACAGCCCCGTCAGCAGGGGCCCCCCTGCCCCGCGACCACTGCGCCCGCCCCGCCCTAGCCCCGCCCTCTCGCGTCCGCCTCGAAGGACCAACAATTTAGTATTTGTTCTACATAAAGACATTAATAGAAGGTGTCACTTTAAATAATTTGGAATATATTTACCAAGTAATGAATTGACGCAGTGTATAATCCTTTAATGCTAGCCATTTCATCAATTAACAAATTATAATGAAAACTACGAAGTTAATTTAAGTTAAAAATATTGTCTTAATTTTTTGTTGTTTGAAGGAATCGTATAATCTTTGTTGAATTTAAAAACGTTCTTTTAAGTGTAATTTGTATGCTAATTGATTAATTTAAAATATCAAGGCTATTGACTTCATTTGTAAATAACGGTGACCTATTTAATAAAGCAGCGGTAACTCAAGGCCATTATTTTTTTGCTAAATTAAAAATTCATATAATTTTTTTATCTAGTTTTTATATGTATTTATCTACTAAAACAGTTCTAAAAATATTACTCGTTCCCTAATACCAAAAATGATTTATACTCTTTACGTAAAGTACCATGGAGTTTTCTTAAAATTTTAGGTCTTTATGCTCTCTATAGTGTTTCGGGCGAAGGGCGTGAGCGTTCGCAGTGCCCGCGAGGCAGTTTACACCAACAGGACTCATGCGAGGTATTAGTGCATATCTATCTATACTATCCGACAAAAAGTATCACATCTCAGTTCTTTAACATTCAACATTTACATTAAAGATGAGAGATACGACACTCTTCGACGGAAGAGTTCATCATTGAGCAGCTACAAGTGTCGAAGTAATAAGGGCTGGTTCTCACCTGGCGGGCGCGCGCAGCACGCGCCGGCCGCCCACATGAGCCGCCGCCGGCGGTCAGCTGCCGCGCGCGCTGCCCCCCCGCGCGCCGCGCTCCCCGCTCGCGCCCGGCCCCGCCACCCTCTGCAACACAACACAACATCTTACAACATTGTATACAAGTGAAAATTACTTAAGTGAAAGTATATTTAATACATAGGTTAGGTATACAAAATGAGTCAGATGAAAACAAAAGGCACGCGGTTCAGGCTAAGCTCCATCAGCGCTCGGCCACTTCAAGTCCAGTGAATCTGTAAATGCCTCTTCAAGTCAAACAGTGGTAATTCAGTCACAACATTTAATAAGGAAACCAAAGGGATTAAATACCAATAAATGTATTTATTTTTGGTATCGCAATATTTTTCTTATCATCATTTTCAATCGTAATTATAAGACGCTCATTAAACTGTAAGTATATCGAGTGGCCAGTGGGCTGATATCTCTCGATCGATAGTCGGAAATGATTACACGGTGGATGTGATGACGCGGCGAAGGCGACGGTTCAGAAGCGGTCAAGTTAGCACCCGGCAATGGCCGTGCGGTCAGATTGTTCACCCTAAGTGCAAGCCGCATGACATACAGCGGGTACACACTAGGCGTTTTTAAAAACAAAACGTCGATTTTAGACATAGAAATATAAAGCCTGCATCAGCAGTGTGTGTGTGTGTGTGTTACTGCTGCACTCTGTCGTTAATTGGTCACTAAGGGCCAACCCAGTGTACTGAGAACATATCGCTTGTGCAAATCAGTGTATGAGAATGGTTTCTAAAACGCGCGTCCCTGTATCGTTACTAAGACGCCTAGTGTGATATATCTTTATATTGCCATGTGCACTTAAAGTATGTTAAGTGCGGAACGGTTTCAGTAAACTTTTTAATATTCATTTTGCATACGACACAAGTATGATTATTTCGAATAAAGTTCTTGCTTTCTCGATCTTGCTACGTAAATCGAAATTATTTAAAAACTTCCCGTTATTTTTACGCTGATAGCTGTAACTACTTAAAAAAAAACTGTACCCAAAGGTTGGTGCTTTTATAGTTTCCAACGGGAAATTGTAATTATATATATAATATAAATTAATACTTCCTCAACATTGGAAAACGCAGCTGTTCATATACTAACGACACAAATTTGATTTCGCTCTGCGACGATTCGTTCCGTGCGCTATTTTTGAACTCTTAACTATAGGTATGTACAAAGTTGGTTGCTAACCATGAAGGTGTTACAAAAAATACCTTTTATTATTTTCGTTGATTGAACTCTAGGCTGCCAAATTGTAGTAGTAATACAAAAAAGTACATTTTCGAGTTATTAATTGGTGTAAAAAATATGTTAGGTACAGAATTCTATTAATGTTTTCAAGTAGCGCTCTTTAGTAAGCCAAAACAACAAGGTAAGGGTTTTCGATACTCGAAATAAAAAACGGGAAAATAAGGAGTAAAAGGTTAGCGTGGTATGGGCATGTTATGAGAAGGGATGAATCGCATGTAATAAGAAGGACGTTAGTTATGAATGTGGAGGGGTACACCGATAGATGGAGACCTAGAAAGAGATGGATGGATTGCGTGAAAGGTGACATGATCAAAAAGGGAGTGGTGACTGAGATGACGGATGACAGAGTTATTTGGAGGACGAAAACCCGGTGCGCCGACTCTACGGGAGTAGGATAAGGCAGGGAAGATGATGAAGTAGAGCTTTTAGGGGGCGATGCCAAAAGGCAGTTTCTACTTTATCATATTAGAAAAAATGTTTGTTTTAGTTAAATACAATTAAATAACGGTTAGATTATTTCACTCATTAAATAACTGAGACTTCACAGTTTCTTGCATTACTGTGTTAATTAAGGTTATAAACATTCACGGTCAATGCTTCTGGTTACACATTAACAATTGCACTATCGAAATCTGTTCAAAAACATTATGCCTCTCTGTTTTTACCAAAGGTACGAAAGGGACGATATATGTGTTCCGTAGCATAAATAAATTAAAAACATCGGTCGACCATATTGTCAGGAAATTAATGAACACAAAATAAGGATAATTCAAATAAATACTCAATTGCGCATACTGACAAAGTTCATTGACCCGGGACTGGTCAATGCTCCTGATAGAAAAAATATCAATGTAATTCCGATAAAAGCATTTCAATTAGAATTCGTCTTGTACTGATTTATTTACGTTATCAAGTCGCGTTTATTCTCCGTACCTTTGGAAATTGGCGATATCAATTAAATAGACGGTTGAAGATATGTTTATTATTTTACTTATTACTGATATGTTCTTCGTGATCTGTCTGTGACAGTAGGTTTTTACTGCTAACAATAAATAATTGTATAGATATTTCGACAGTGTAATTCAACGGTAATTCAAATCATAAATTAACATAAATTACATATGAAATTCAATATCAGTTTAGTGGTGTATTTAAATACCTTTGTGTAATACGCCAGTCTAGACTGACCTAGGCCTAGATTAGACTAACAGGATTGTGTCTATAATCTGTCGTCGGCGTAAATCCCTGATGTTCCATTTCAGCCTGTTTGCGGAATAAACGCTCGCCTTAGCACTTTCACACGAGGGCAGTCACAGTGATGCAGAACAGAGCGACACTGCAGTACTGCAACGCAGAGAAAGAACCGTTTTGCGAGTGCATTCAAATAATAGCAGTTGCATACTGTTCTGTCCTCGTGTAAGCATAACGCAGAAATCTGTGCCTGGCAGGTTTTTCCTTCGTCAATGTAAACCAACGCTAATGTTAAGATGGTATCTGAGATCGCGTGTGGTTATACCAACTAGGGCGATGTTTGCTTAATTTAATGAGAAGAAACAACTTCGTAGTTGCTCACACGCTACGGAAACCTTCGAGAATTCTAATTGTAAATTTACATAAAACGTAAATGAAAAAACTTGTAACAAATTACTTGATCTATTTTTAGCGCAAGAATATTCGTTTTGTTTTATTTGTACAGTACTAGCTTTCGACCACGACTCCGTCCTTGTGGAATAAAAAAAAAACAAAAGTGAGTAGCCTATGTGTTCTTCCAGACTATACTCTACGTCTATGCCAAATTTCACCAAGATCCGTTCAGCCATTTAGGGTACAAACTCTAACAAATATTCATCCATCCATCTAAACTTTCGCATTTATAATTAGTATGAAGTAAGATTAGATTAAACAGGAATTATAGGAATTATATATATTAATAAGTAAATGATAAGGAGGTTAATGATGTTTTTAACCATAGACTAAACAGCTGTCATGTTCTCCGAAATCTGAACCTTCATAGACCATCTTCAAGTTTTTACTTCCCAAAGATTTTCTAGACGTTCTATTGTTAATGGTTATATCACATTATAAATATGTCATTACGATAATTAGCTATGTGAATAGGAACACACGTGGGCCTAGAATTACATCTACATACGTATAATGGAACAATTTTTTTATACAATAAACTTGATTTACATAATAATTATTGAATGTCACATTTTTTCCCCTTTGTTTGTAAAACATTCATACATTTAAACGCTTACATTCGTCTATAAATTAGCTAATACGAATAATTGAACAGTTTTGTCTATTATACTTAATTATAGGAAGAAAACATAAACATCTTTTTGCATGAATTAACATGCAATACACAATTACAGATACCTCTCATGTTTTAAAACCATTACATTATACTAATACGAGCTGTTGCCCGCAACTTCGTCCGCGTGGTATTGGAAAACATACGAACTATATAAATAACAAAAATCTACGTATCCCTCGGGAACCGGACATTTCTCGGGGATGAAACTTATCCCATGTGTACTCCAGACTTTGTTTTATATCTGTGCCAGATTTCAATAAGATATGTTGAACCGTTGCAGAATGATTGAGTAAACATTAAAAAACTAAATTAAAGAATCCCACGGGAACCGTAACTATTCCCGGGATAAAAAGTAGCCTATGTGTTCTTCCAGACTTTGCTCAAAACCTGTGCCAAATTTCACGGAGATCTGTTCAACCGTTTAGGCTACAAACGCTAACAAACATCCATCCATCCATCCATCCATCTAAACTTTCGCGTTTATAATATTAGTAAGAAGTAAGATTATAAACGCAAAAGTTTGGATGCATATTTGTAGGCTAAACGGCTTAACCAATCTTGATGATAGTTGACATAGATAAAGAGGATAGTCTGGAAGAACACATAGGCTATCCGCTTTTGATTTTTTAATGCCAAGCGAACGAAGTCGCGGGCGAAAGCTGGTAATTTAATAAACTCGAAGTGTAAATTTGTAAAAAACTTCCGAACACTCTCTAGTACTCTATATCGTTTGAACATGACATAAAGTAAATAAACTAATAAAAGTCCATTTTTTAGAGATCGCAACAATTTCTTAACCGTTGCGATTTATTTTGATTCGTCTATTTATACGCTCAAGTAGCAAATAGAGTGGAATTGGGACAAAAACTATTTGCGTTTCCTATTGCGCGGCCGTTGACACGCTCTTGTCAATGACACACTGATCTGTGACTAGCGTAGTTAACATTGTGTGGATATCGTGTTGGTGTTGACGACATTTGGTACAGTCCACGCCAATTTATTTAATAAATATAAACGTGCGAAGTAAAGCTCGATTAATAACTTCACTCAAAGACATATATAGTTTAGAATTCCAGAATATCTATCTATACATATAATAAAATTGAAGTGTCTGTTTGTAATATCAAAAGAAAAATTAGATTTCGGGAAGATGATGTATTTACGTCGCTGATAACGAAAATCGCATTTAATATTTTCCTGTCCGTCTGTCTGTCTTTCTGTCCGCAAGCTGCGTTTGTTCCGGGTGATCTCCGAAACGGCTGGGCCGATTTCGACCAGACTTTCACTGGAGGGTAGCTGACATAGACGGGCATATTATAGACTAACTTTTTAATTTTAATATTGCGTGGACGAAAGCAACCGCTACTATAACAATATAAAATGTTGCTCATGTAAGTCAAAAGATTTTTTTCTATATTGAAAAAATGGTTAAGTGTCAAAAACAACTTCTAAGAGCCACCAAGTAGTGTTGTAAGTACAAACAGCTGTA